CTCTGCTCTCTCCACACCAAGTGCAGACCCCTCATGTCCCAGACAAGCCCACCTCTGTGAGACATACCCTCTGGTTCTCCTGTAAGTAGAACCCACAGGACAAGGCACGGGAGGGGAGTATGACTTCCCAGAAAACTCAGGATCCGGAACACAAACCTCTAATGATAAATCTTCACTCATCTTGAAGCCGAAGTCACTGCAAAGGCAATTGGGGTTCATTAAGGCCGCTGGTTTGCACACATCAGGCATTTCGGCAACTCCCACCCACCCCGTGATGTCCACCACGCTGCCCACCTTGCTATTATCAGTTACTTGCCATGTCCCTTTCAAGGATACCCAATTTTTTTACACCAATACATTTTCAAAAGAAATTTTTTATCGGAGCCGTAATTGGAAAACCAGTATCATATGACATAAACAAAACCAAGACAGAGCATTATGCCAAAAACAATACTAGATTTTTCAGCTGGATCCAGTTTCCTGCCCAAAGACTCTGGGCCTGCCCTCTTTTTGTTAAAAGCAATTAACAAATGTGAAGAATGATTAACACCCAGTGAGACTTTCTCCTGACACGACTGGAAGAATTAAAACAGAAACTGAAAAGAATAGTCTTTTTCCTAAACTAAGGATTCAATGATATTTAAGACCATGTCCACCTGCTCCCTAAAATCGCCTGGGCCCTCCGTCTGCACTGGGGGAAGTAGTCCTTTGCTCTCCAAGACCTTCTGCAGTTGGGGGACCACATCTGTCAAGCCACACAGCTTGATGGGCAAAGCCCTGGGGCAGGAAGTAGGGGTCCCAGGCTGAGTCTTAGCTTGACTGCGTGATTTAACAACCCTCGCGTGAGGCAGCTGCGCTGTGTACTCTCCAAGGCCTGGCCCAGACCGTAAATTCATAATTCAGAGAGGTTTGCCTTGTTCACGGCTCTACTCCAAAGGCTTCATTTACAAGCTCAGGGCAGAGGGGCTTGTGTATCTATCAGGTCAAAATCCACATTTAACACTTGGCAGAGAACTGCTCAGAAGAAAGCAGTTTTATTACTGTACCAAACAGGTCCCATTCATTAAATCAGGTGAATTTTCACTGAATGGCCGCTTCTGGGGGCCTGGGTGGAGCATTCATGACTCATTTGCCTCCAATGGCAAAGCACCCTTCTTAGGCAGTTTCTTCAGACTGTGGACCATGACCTAGTGGGCCGTGAAAACACACTGGAGGGTCTAGACCAGAAAACTGCAAAATTCACGGCGCTTTAAAGTAAATGTTATCTCATTAAACTTCTGTCTAAATTAGATGTATGTGTCCACGTATACAAACATGCAGCTCAGGGTCATGCCATAAAAATACCTTGCTTATTTAAAAGGGGCTGCAGTCTAGGGCTTGAAAATCACTCTTATTGGCAATTGTGGGGGCACAAAGATGTAACAGGAAGTACCCCTGAAATCAGGGAGCACATGGGCCAATACTGGGCTTCCCAGGGAGGCCTGAAAGGACTGTCAGACGTAAGCTGACGTCCAAGTGCAGAGGTCACTCAGGAGCAGGACTAATGACAGACACTCCTAGCGGGCTGCTTCTCACTTCCTCTCCTCATGTCCCCTTCAGACCCCTCCCTCCTCGCTGCCACAGTTCAACACCACCAAACACTTCTAAGAGCCACGCAGGCGGGGTGGCTCTCTTCCAGAGGCCACGGCAAAAGGAGCAAAACCCACAGGATGAAGGCCTGAAGTACACCCTGCACCACCTTCGTGGGTCATTCCCCCCATGATCTCATTTGGCCTGAAGCCCAACTCCAAGAGGGGCAGGGCAGGCCGGTCCTGGTCTCTGTGAGGACATGCAGCGCCCAGGGGGTCTCAGCTGGTGGGCAGGGCAGACCAGCGGGAGTCAGGCCAGTTTCCCAGGAAGCACACCAGATCAGCCCCTGGCTTTTGTTTTTTTGTTGTTGTTTTAGGGGAGAGAGGGGAGCAGATTTTAGAGAAAAAAATGTAATCCAAAAAAAACAAAATTCAAAGATTTGTTAGATTTTCTTACATATTTTTCATTCTATTTTGCAGAACTTAATGGGGATAAAAAAAGAGAGGAGAGAAAGCTAGTAGTCTTTTCCATGATCGGGGCCTCTGTGGTCTCAGTCCAATCCAGGGGGTACCCCAGACCCGCAAAGCATCTCTGATTAGAACTGTTTGTTACCGAAGGGAAAGCAGAAGGCAGCAAAGGGACATGGAAAGGGTATCACTGGGAGCATCAAACAGCTCTGTGCTTCTCCGCAGAAGCGTCTGCGTTATCTTAGGACCACACAGTTTGCTGTGGGAACTCCAGTCTTGCACCGTCTAAATCCCTGCTGCTCTGAGGGTGGCTTTGCAGATAAGCAGCACCAGGGTCCCCAGGAGCCCAGAGGACTGCAGGTCCCCAGGACGACCATATCAGGACTTGCAGTTTAACAAGATCCCAGGTGATTCACATGCACGTACGTTTCAGGGGCACCACCAGTCTGGGGCTGGAATTGGCCGAGTCTGGCTGGCTGTTTTGTAAATAGAGCCGTCAGGTCACGGCCCAGCCCTGTCAGCCGGTTCACTGACGGCGGCTCTCTGGGTACCGCAGGCAGAGCTGAGCAGCTGCACGGGAGACCACACGGCCTGCAAAGTCTAAAACACTTACTGCACGGTCCTGTTCCAACCTCTGGACTAGAGCACATCAGAGGTTTCTGGCTTTAGTCAAGATAAGTGTGGCTTCCCAAAGTCCCAGACTTCAGTTCCTTTGTGCCTCAGCCACTACTGAAAAATGAGTTATGTGCTTATGATGAATACCCACGCTCTACGGACAGCCCTGCATGATGTGGAATAATCATCTCCTGCTGGATCAGACTCGGGGGGCTGTCTTTGGGCTCCGGGAGCCTGTCTCTACTGAGAGAATCATCTTCCTACAGCTGGGTTCTGACCACCAGCTCTCAAAAGCTTCCAAAGACAGCCTCCTGCTTACAAAACACGGTCCCTGCCCCGCCGTAGTCTGTATTTCCAGCTCCATCTCTGCTCACTGACCCTGATTCATCCACCCAACAAGGCACCCAAATTGAACTGCCAACTACACGTTCCTATCTCCACACCTTCATACAGCTGCTCCGTCGTCTTAGACGCTCCTGTCCGTCTATCCACGTGCTTCTCTAAAGCCATCTCAAACACTGCTTCCTCCAGAATCTTCCTGATTCCCCAACAGCAGATCAGTCTCCTCTTTCCTACCAATGAGCACAGTAAAGCACCCGTTTCTCCCCTCAAGGTCCCTGCATTCTCCATCTCTCGTCACAGGCATCAGTGTGCGTGGCGTTTCCTCCACTCTCAGTGTTCTCAAGCAGTGCCTTGGATATCTCACTATTGAGGACTAACGAATATACAACTATATGTACACTAACATCCCCTCGTTTCAGATAAAGAAACGAATTCCCTCTAGAATAGGGCGCCAAGAAAAAGGAGCCATCTACGATGGACCCTTCAGCACCTTCCTTTTCTGCGCTGGCCTCAGAAGTAAACCCCAGAGTGATCCACTCCTGGATAAATCACTGCAGCTGGCCCGGGTGTCAACACCTCTGCCACATCACACGGCAGCAAGAACTACACGGAGTGCCTCGCACAGTTCCTGGCTCATAAAGGATGTTTAATAAACACCCATTTCCTAGGGTTCCCTCCCCTTCTTCAGGGGAAGGGACCACGCCCTGGTCTGCTCCCCACACCGCTGAGGGAACAGGACAGAACTCAATCCCCGGCATCCACGAAGCACCAACCATTCATAGTCCTCTCGGGTGCAGGAGCAGTTGGACACGACCACCGGCCTGTCGAAGTCCTCCCCGTTAAAGCACGTTGCGTGGGGCGTCCTCCGTTTGAAGACAGTCTTGTGTCCCAGCAGACACTCATTGCCCCGCTCGTCAGACGGGGACCACAGCTTGTAGTCGTTCTCGGTGCAGGGGACCCCTGAGGAAGAGGAAGCGCAGGATGGCGCATTAGAGACGGCTCACGTGGGCTGTCCTGCCCTGCCCGGCCCTCACGTCGGCTCGCGTTGAGGCCGGGTGACATCCACACAAATGGAAACGGTGCCCCTAACCCACGGGGTCCATCTGAGAAAGCTGGGAAGAGGGAAGCCACCTTCGGGGCCCGCTGTCTAAACTTCTGAAAGATTTTAGCAGATTCTGCAGGTCCCTTTAGAAACAGGTGCCCAGAGGCGTTTATCTCTAGGGAGTGAGGTGAAGGCTGCATCCCTGAGAGATGGTATCGTTCAGGAGTACGTGCCCTGCCAGCTTCCGAGGCAGTGTGGACGCGCCTCATATTATGGCCCAAGAGCGAGAGAATTCACTGTCACTGCTTGGAAGGTACGGGATCTTCATGGAAGGAGGCTGAGAAATGGTAAAATGACCGGAACAGTCCCTCCTACCCACACTCCCTCGACACTTAAGTAGAGTGCTTTCCACAGGAGCCCAGAGTACATGGGTGTCTATACTGGAAACATGTCTTTTTCATATGTGTGTCTTTGGTCAGATTAAATGCTGCCTACAACTGATGAACTACTGCCAACTCAATGTCATTCAAATCAGCACCCCTACTGACTGGAAGGCCATCGGGCTGCCCAGTGGGCAGGCTGTAGATACGCACAGGGCAGGGTCCTGGGTCCAAACACCTGGCGATCCAGATGACACACACAGGGTAACAGACACAGATTTGTGACTCAAGGTGTGATGAGTCCACTTATGCTCTGGACACAGAGAAGAGGGGAGGTTGGGATGTTCTGGCTGGGATATTAGCAGCCACAGGCATTGGATCCTGAAACATGGAAAGGATTTCAACTAGTGAATGGGCAGCCCAGGGGACACTGCACGCAGCTGGAGGCAGAAAAGCAGCAGGGGGCAGGGTGATGTGGGACGAGGAGGGAGGAAGGATGCTGAGGAGTGGCACTGCTCCCTGCTTACTTGCTTACACGCCCCGTGCCTGGATCGTGATGAGAGTCTAGACCATTCTCGGAGGACCCTGCAGCATTAGCAGTGGCGACCCACTGAACTGTATTTACCACACTGGGACTGTTAATTTGGAAGAATGTTTTTCAAGCATTTATTCATTCACACATGCAACACACAGATACCTACACCTACTACGAGGCAGTGAGCCCACGAGGAAACGAGGATACAAAAATCAACACATGGCCCGATGAAGCACTGCCCGAGTAACGGCCTCTGGAGTTGTCACTCACTCACCGCACAGGTGCCACCTTCTTCAGTGGCTCGCAAGCTCTTCTGAGGACATGGCATCTAAGTAATGCTGCGGTCAACAGCAATTTCCCCGGGAAAGGGCCGAGGAGGCAGCAGCTTACCCAAGGCATTCGTGGCGTTGACCTGGAGGATCAGCCAGCTGTGGACGTTCTCTTTGTTGGAGCCAAAGATGGTGAAGACAGTGCTCTTCTCGCCAGGCTCCGTGAGGAGCCCGTACACGAACACCGGCCTCTCGGAGAAGACGAACGTCTTCCACGTCTCCCCTTCGTTGGTGCTGTACCTGCCCAAGAGTAACAAGAGGATCCTTGCAGGTAAATCTCCAGGCAAAGGGCCTGCTTTCCAGATCACATTCACCAGTAGCAGGAACCTGGACTCCCTGGAGAAACGGCTGACCCTGGGCTAAAGCCGGGCAAGTTCCAGGTTGTGCCAGAAAGCAAGGAAGCGCTCAGAGACTGAAGCAGTCGGCACGCGAGAACACAGGCGCCAGCTCGATGGGGCTCCAACCGGCCAACGTGGGGAAATTTGAACATAAAAGAGAGAAGTGATGGTAACAAATTATACACTGGATGAAAACAGGGCACGGGGCTCTAAATGGTAAGGGAGGGAGGAGGGGAGGAGGAAAATTTTTTTCCTTAATTTACAATGCTATCTAATAAATGTTGAAAATCATAGAATGAGAAAAAAAAATGACTGTTCTGTAACCCCTACTGTAACAGCTGGGTCACACAAGATCTTCACGGGATGCTAAAACCACTGGGTGGGTGAAAGAGTGCTGGAGACCAGAGTGTTCACATGGTCCAAAGATACCAACTCACATTCACTGCCGGGGGGGGAGCGTAATTTCACAGTGGACGTTCTGAGAGTTACAGCCCTCACCAAATTCAGCATCAGTAACTGTGGGGCCATGTGACAGAATGGATGTCCTGGACAAAGCACCGAGGATAACACAGCATCCATGCTCTCCTCTGTGCAGCTGGACCAATTCAGACCGTGGAGCGCTCTGCGTGGCAACTGGTCTGGAGCCTTCAAAGCATCGAGGCCATGAAAAACCAACCAGCCACAGAGGCACAGGGCTTGTTATACGTTAAAAGAGACTAAACAGGTATGGCAACCAAATGCAACGGGTAAACCTTGACTGCATCCCGGACTGGGGCGAAAAAGGCAGCTATAAATCACATAAGACAACTGAGAAAATATAAATACAGTCTAGGAGGAATACTGAGTTCACGATCATCTTCTTGGGCATGCTAATGACATTCTGATTGTGTAGGAAAAATTCCCTTATTTATTGAAGATGTGTATATGTTGAAGTATTTAGCTGTGAAGGGGCACATTATCTGCAAATCTTTCAAATGATTCTGCAAAAAAAAAAAAGATAATGGATGGATAGATGACAGGCAGAATAGGTAAACAGATGGCAGAAGTAGAACAAATAGAAAAAATACTAACAATTCGTGATTTGCAAACCTGGGAGGGTAATAAAAACAGTATCCACTCCAAAGAAAACAAAAAAACAAAAAAAATTAGTGATTGTTACACAAGGTGTAGGTAAAGGTAAGATGAGTATTTTTATACCATCTTGCCAACTTTTCTCATAGTCTTAAAGTTGAAGGAAAGTGCGTCCTGAGAAAAGTCTCCAAGGCAGACTGCATCCAGACAAGAAAGCAAGCCCTTGAAAAAATAAGCAGCGCTGACGGAATTGTATTGATGTTAAATTATCTTCTGTACTGAAGAGGAGGAGGAGGAGCAGCAGGAGGGAGAGGAAAAGGTGATACTGGCTTCATCACCCAGGAAGCTGGGGAGATGCTCAGCGCGAGGAACCAGTGCAGGAGAGGGGGCTCGTTAGGGTCACAGAGCTACTGGGTCTCTCTCTTTAATTCTGATCATATACAACGCTTCTTTTCTTTCACTTTCCCCACATTTTTGAGAATCTAGTTTTACTCACTTACGATCTTCAGGACCTGACATACATCTCTTCACAGCATCATTCAACCCAAACACTCTCTCTCGTGTCGAGATTACTAAAATTAGTAGAAAGGCTATGGGTTAAACCAAGTGGGAGGGCTACGAGGCAACCTAACAAGTGTCAGGGGTACTGAGTTCTTCCAAAGAGAAGACATTCTCATCCGGTCTGCTTTTGGACTAAGCTAACGCTGAAGCAGATATGGGGCTAGGTTAACTCATTCCATCTCCTTCCTGTGGCAGGGTGTTGAGCTAAAGGCTTAGTACCATCTTGAAAGCAAAATGAACCAGACATGATGGGAGCCAGCCCTCCGCTCTGTGATGGGGCCGGAAGTCATCTATTTGCACACTGCCAGGTTAATTCTACTTAAGAGCTCCTCGAACTCAAGATAACCTCAGGAAATGAATCATCCCGTTTCTTGAGAAGTTCCCAGAAGACTTTGACAATAACATATTAACGAGATGAAAAAGTGGGTGCACGGCCAAACACAGCCTTGGATCGGAGAATAAATTGTGCATTTAGAAAATGGTGCTTTTTCAGAATTTTGGAGACAGGGCAGCCACGTTATCAACTACAACAGTTAAGGGAACATCTATTTTTGACCGAATTCTGATCCCTAAAGGAGAACTTGTGTTGGTGAAGCGGAAGTGATGAGAACCTTGCAAGAAAACAAACCAAGCCATCTTTATATTCCTAAGAGTCATAAAAGAAGATGTAGGACCCTAGCCCTCACCTACCTAACAGTATCTGATGCACATCCTTGAGTTGTTTTACAGAAGCTGAAACTCCCACCTAATGGAAGACATTAACTACTTGATGACCGTGAGCACACAGCCCCCAGGCTTCCTGGGGCCTAAGGGTGGATGATGTTAACCCCTGTGACCCCACCCTGTTACCTCACCATCAACCAGAGAACTGTGCACCAGCTGATCACCTACCCTCCAACATCCCCTCCCTCACCCAAGCCTTTACAGGCGCTTTGCTGAAGCCCATCAGGGAGTTTGAGCTATTTGAGCAGCAGCTGTCCCAGCCTCACTGCCTGGCGTGTGACGACAAATGCTGCACTTTCCTTCACCACAACCTGGCGTCAGTAGATTGGCTTTACTGCGCGCGGACCAGGGGACCCAAGTTTGGTTCGGTAGCTTTGGCTCATTCAGTAACATACCTACTATATTTAAATGACCTGATTTTATGAGCATCTTCTACTAGACTGCGTTTCATCACGAACAAGACCCCTCACTCTTCTGCCCCTCCGACCTGCCACTTCTCCTGGAACACAGAGGGGCATTAATTAACGTTTGTTAAAGAAAATTAAATGAACTGAACTGTATTTTCTTTTTTTTTTAACTCCATCTCTGTTTCTTAACAGTTAAAAGTTGGTAAGAACACCTGCTCCCCTATCACTCAAGGGGCTGAGACCACATGGGGGACAGAATGAAGTTGGTGGAGGTGGGGCGGGAGGTGGTTCTCTCTGCGTCTGACCAAGGTACCACAAGATGAGGCTCTGCCATCAAGCGAACAGGTTAACTGCCGCCTCCCACATTCTGGAACGGTGAAGAGGCTTCCAGAACTCAGGTCCAGAAAAGACAGCTGCTCTGCTGGGTGGAGTCTTTGCGATAGCTTTTCAGGACTCCTAGAGGGAAGCCCTGTGAAATCAGAACTCTCCCAGGAGGAAAGCTGCTTTGGACAAAGTCCAAGGCATTATTAGTAACTACCAATAATATTACGCTGACAGGCAAACTGCCGGGAAGAAACGGAAACTGATCTCCTCGCTCACGATCAGGCCGATAAACTTGGGTTTGAATCTGTTTATCGGTCAGAGCACAAAACCACAACAGCCCCTTCTCTGAAGAGCACTGCATCTCCTGGGTAGGCTCCCGGCCACAGCATGCGGAACGAAGGTGTCAGGGGCTCCCCGAAGAGGTTCTTTTTTACTCATTTCAGACATGCATATGCAGGCCCAGCAAAGCGTTCCACTTACTCAATTTCAATTAACAACAACAAAGAAAACAGCCTCGGTGGAGAATCAAGGCAGAAGCTGAGGCACGTAACAGTGAACTCTTAGTTAACTGTGCTAATCAGGGCCAGAAAGACATGAATAATTTAAAAGAACCGAAAAAAAAAAAAACCCAAAATTTAATTCCTACTATAAGCAATGTTCCCACCTCCATCCCCACTAAACCTCTTATGAGAGTTACTGATTTTACCCACTTCCTCCCTAATGGTGGGTAAGCTTTGGGTCAGAAGCTCCATTTTTTAACAAGTCCTTCCCCGGTCTCTCCCACCAGCTGGCTCAGAAACATCCCAGAGCCACAGTGGGACCGGGCAGCTCCCAAAGGATGCCTCACTCACGTCTGCATCCTCGGTTGCTGGAACAACATCTGGCTCATCGTGGAGATGCAACAAATGTTTGTGTAACTGACCTGAAGTGTTGCCTAACAGATCCACGTTCAAGTCCCACCCAGCATGGGCCTGAACGCCTGACAGTCCCAGTCTCAACAGCTTGCAAACATCCAGGGCCCTGCCACTGATGTTTGAGCTCCAGGCATTGTCCTTGACAACAGAGCACAACGAGAGAGTCCCCTACCGCTGGGGCTGTGCCATGGCCACACTACCCGACCCCTTCGAGTAATACAAATCAGGGGGGAGGAAAAAAAGCAATCTTGGAAGACTAAGTGTACATGACCTATTTATTGAACAATCAAACATGTTCAACTGGATTTTTTTGCCTAATGAGTTGAGGAATTTAGGCATATAATGAAAAGGTAAGTAACAAAAGGAGGTGGTATGTGACAAGTGCCAAATCAATGAGATGGCCGATCAACACTACGAGACTCAAAGGAGGAGAGCAGGATGGCTGCGGCTGGGGAGACCAGACTTTGGAAGGTCTGAAGCCCTTGATCAGTAACAAAAATCCAGTTGGGACAGAAGCAACCTCCACTCATGTGGTCTTGAGGATCTGAACTAATTACAATATTATTTCCTGTTTCTCTTCTGATGAAACGGATAGCACACGTCAAAAGCAGACCAGCAGGAGAAGCAGAAAAAAACAAAAACAAAAAAACTCTGTGAGCAACGTACTGAATAAACGCTGGGTGGCTATGCTACACGGATTCGGCCAAGCTTGGGCTGATATCTGGGGCACGTGCCCCTGTCGACAGGAGTCCTGGATATATTCTCCTGTTTGCAAATGCTTTATCTGAATCATACAGACACCTCCAAATGACCTGCACAAATCAAGGAATGTTAGAGTGCCCACATCCCTGAAGTCAGCAGCCCCAGAGTCACTGTTAAATGTCTGGGGAGGGCACTGCGACTTCCTGGCAGCAGGTCTATTTTCCTGATCGTGTTTTGCTCCAGCCAGCCGGCTGGCCACGCCGCCGCGTTCCCGAGCACATATGTACCGACAGATGGTGTAAGAGGACCAGAATTGTGCTAAACACTCAGAGAAGCCCGCCTGGAATGCAAATGCACTCTGGAGAAGAGTCAAGCCGGGAAAATCGGGAACTGTCTCTGCAGCCTGACTGTCATGCAGAATGAAATGTACCCCTAGGAAGCCAAACTACGCCCCCACCGCACTTCTCACACAGCGTCCGGAACATCACGCTGTCTGCTTGTGTATCTCACCAGTGGTGGGTGGACCCCATGAGAGTGGAGGAAAACCTTCTATTTCTCTTTAGATACACATCACCTGGAACCATCAGCCCTTGTGAAGTGTGTGAGGTGGGAATTAATAAATTAATGGGTAAATAAATGATGATGTGAGTGTGGGGCACACTGTGCTCTGGGACAGTCCTCAGCTGAGCCAACCCCAATCCGAATGTGGACACAAACAGTGCTATGCACAAACAGGGCTTCTTCTGACTCCGGGCTCTAAAGAGGCGCCCGCCCAGAGCTGCACAGACCAGGGAACAGCCGAGTGCAACTCAGAACGCCAGGACTTTACTTCTCTCTACTTCGTGGATGCCAGGCCAGGCTGCTCAGCGCATGTCCAATTAACCACAGGGGAAACCAGCTGTCTGAGATCTCTTTTTTCAAACCACCCACCTCTCTCGTTTGCTGCTGGCCCTGCTTCTAAAAGGAGCAAAGGAAAAGCAAGCTGCCTTCCTTGCGTCAAACAAGGTGACTACAGAAGCCCTCTCCCCTCCTTTTGTAATCCACCTCCTGGGTTCAGCTCGAAAACCAGGAGAAGTGAGAGCCAGTCTGCCCTGACCTCATGTTAACAAAATTAACTTCTGTCCTGATTTGGACAAAAGTCACAAAACAATTATTTCTGATAAAAATCAGACTCAAGAAGGCAGAGGTTACTAACTCTTAACATTTTTGCTTTTCAGAGGAAGGCACTGCAAAGAGTATGGAACATAATTTAAAGACCTGAGGGGCTAGTCTTGCCTGTTATTAACAAACTGGGAGACCTTGGGCAGTTACTTTACCTTGCCGAACCTCAGTTTTCTCATCTGCAAAATGAAGCCATTAACCCCAAATGTCCTTTCCAAGTCCATCTGCAAGAATTCCAAAACCCAGTGATTCACAGTAAAGGTTACTTGGCTATCACACAACATGCATTCTGAAATGATCACTCCCATGTCATTGTTATTTATTGTAATCACTGTCACTCATTCTATGAGTCTGTGTGTCACACACAAAGCAAAGAAAGACAAGCCTCTAGTTAATTTTTAGTCATCATTAATTTATATTTACATAGAGCTGTACTTTTGTGAATCAGTAAGATTATTTCATGTGTCCTTCACTGAGATAGGAATGACAAATTATGACTCCCATTTCATAAAACAAGGAAAGTTTTAAGTAATTTCCCGAGTCACAAACTGCGCTGTCAGTAATACGGTGCTGTAGAGAGAGAACCCACTTACAATCGCAGACTTAAATTTCTGGGAGAACAGGGTGATGTTAAAAGAAAAAGCTCGACCAGAGACACTTACTTCAGCTCGTTGGTCTCCATGCCTTGGGCTATTGCCATGACGATGCCTCCATGATCTCCCCACGTGTAGTAGTGAGGTCCAGGGAGGGCCTGAGGAGAGAGAGCCGGGGCTGACGGCACTGCCGTGGGGGGGGGGGCACACCACACACACGTGTACACAGACACACGTGTACACACACACACACACGCAGGGATGCCACCTCCTGAATACAACTTCTCCAGAGCACTTTGCGTCCTTTATCTCATCTGCTCTGCACAACCCTGAGGATGGGCAGATCAAGGTCTCATACTCCGATTTCCTTGCCAAATGAAGAAACCGGAGCTCCTACTCAAGTGGCAGACTATCCACCAGCAGAGGAGGAGTCAAACCCAAATCTCTGACCCCCACCAAGCCACGATTAAAAATGAACCAACTGGAGTTCGGGTTCTACTGTGATGGGGTGAGCCCACCTCGGCTCATCCTTCCTGCTGGTTACAAGGGAAAACTTTGGACAAAATACAAAAAGACAGCTACCTGAGGATGCTGAAAAATAAACAAAATCAGGCAGTTTGTGAAAGGAACTTAAACCCTGGAAAGCTCGCCAAACGACAGTACCTCCCTGGCATGACTTTGCCCCCAGAGAAGACCCCAGTCTGGAATACCTCGGTTCCAGTCAGGTGGCTAAAGCTTCAAGGGAACTGTTTCTGCCTAAGGAGTCAGGCAAAGAAGCCCCTGCAGGCGTGAGAGAATGCGAATGGGATTCCAGAGGGGAGAGTGTGAAACAGTAAATCCTTTGATACTGTGTATGGACTCATAAGTAAGTTTCAGCCTACCCCCGAAACTGCACGTGTGTGGAACAGACCCAAACTGGTGAAGCGAAGGTGTAGCAACCTGAATCGACAACACGGAACTCACGACTGGAACCTTAACAGGTGTGTAACACGCTAAAACAAAACTGTCAACATCCTCCAGAAGATTTCGTGTCCAGGATGCAACTGAAAATTACTCAACATAAAATGTATCGGTTAAATGTCTCCAATTCTCAAGGGGAAGGACAATCAATGGGTGTCAATCCCAAGATGATCCAAATGCTGGAATTGCCAAAGACCTTAAAATAGTAATTAGAACTGTGCTTCGTGACATACAAGGAACACACACTTGAAATGAGCAAAATATTACATCCACCCTCATCTCCGCCAGATTATTAGTTGGCATTTGGACAGTAGAGGGGCTGTACAGAAAGAATACGTGAGATTAGAAGCTGAAATTTTTCAGCCCCACCCCTATCCTCCCAGGAGGGCAGAGGGACTAGGTAGTGAGTTAATAATCATGCCTATGTGATGAAGCCTCGATTAAACAATCCCTCAACTGCAGGATCTGGAGAGTTTCCAGGCTGGCGCGCACATCCCTATGCTGGGAGAATGGCACACCCCAGCCCTACAGGGATAGATGTTCTTGTGGTCAGGACACTTCTGGACCCTGTCCAGTGGACCTCTTCATCTGGCTGTCCATCTGTATCCTTGGTAATAGCCTTTATAATAAACCAGTCAACATAAATAATTCTTTCCCTGTGTTCTGCCAGCCGTTCTAGCAAATTACTGTACCCAAAGAGTGGGTCATGGGAACCCCCAACTTCTAGCTGGTCAGTCAGAAGTGCAGGTGACAACCTGAGACTTGCAACTGGCAGCTGATATAGGGTGAGGCGGGGGCAGTCTTATGAGGTTGAGCCCTTAGTCTGTGGATTTGTGCTAATTCTAGTTAGTTTGTGTCATGAATGAACTGCAGGACATCCAACTGGTGTCTGGAGAGTTGGAGAACTGCTTACTGTGATGGGAAAACCGCCACACATTTGGTATCAGAAGTATTCTGAGAGTAAAGGAAAAGAGTTTGTCCTTTAACAGAATATATCATTATTACATATTACCATATTATTATTTTTTAGAGAAGGGAAAAGAAAGAAGACAGAAAAAGAGAAATAAAAACCATAAAGATCAGAAAGGAAGAAACAAAAGTGATGATGATACAATCACTTATACTGAATCTATAAAACACTAATAAATTATTTTAGCCAGGTTGCAGAATACCAGGTTAATAAATAAAAGCCAATTGTGTTCTTATGAACTACAGCAACATTTGAAAAATGAACTTGAAAGAAAATTCCATTTACCGCAATACCAAAAAATTAAAAATACCTGTGAACAAAGCTAACAAAAGATACATAAGACCTCCATATTGAGAACTATAAAATATTGCTAATAGAAATTTAAGAAGAAATAGAGAAATATACTACATTTATGGAACAGAAGACTCCATGTATTAATACTTACTAGTAGTATTAAGACGTCAATTTTCCCCACATTGATCTGTATATTTAATGTGACTCTTGTCAAGATCCCAGTCAAGATCCCAACAGGTTTTGTAGAAACTGACAAAATGATTCTCAAATGTTGTGTGGCTGTACAAAGGCCCTAGAATAAGTCATTGTCATTTTCAAAAAGAACAAAACTGGGCCAAAAAGAGAAAGAAAAATACCATATGATATCACTTATATGTGGAATCTAAAAAAACAACAACAAAAAAAGACTAGTGAACTTACTCACAAAACAGAAACAGACTCACATTCATGGAAAACAAACTTATAGTTACCAGGGGGGAAAGGGGTGGGAAGGGATAAATTGGGAGTTTGAAATTTGCAGATACTGACTGATATATATGAAATAGATAAACAACAAGTTTATACTGTAGAGCACAGGGAACTATATTCAATATCTTGTAGTAACTTATGGTGAAAAAGAATATGAAAACGAATATATGTATGTTTGTGTATGACTGAAGTATTATGCTGTACACCAGAAATTGACACAACATTGTAAACTGACTATACTTCAAGTAAAAAAAAAAAAAATAAATAATATATATATATATA